GTAAGTTTACCCCCCTACCCCACACACACACAACACTTTCAATGTAATTAAAAACAAATATTCAAAGAATGGTTAATGTTTTACATCCCCCTCCCCCACAACACTTTTAATGTAATTAAAAACAGAATGGTTAAAGTTTTACACCCCCACAACACTTAATTTAATAAAAACAAATATTCAAACCATTTCTACTAAAGAGAAACTTCCGTCATTCGAATAAATAACAAATGATAATTTTTATTCCTTGTTATTCAAGAAGAATCATAATTAAATTTAGTAGTTTGTCTCGTTTCAGGTTTGGGTTCATAATGAAACCATGGAATCACAATAAAAAAGCTACTTTTTCAATAAATAGTATGTATTATTTCTTCTAATCACACATATACGTCCCTCGGTGGGACAGCGGTAAGCCTTCGGATTTACAACGCTAAAATCAGAGGATCGATTCCCCTCGGTAGACACAGCAGATAGCCCGCTGTGGTTTTGCTATAAGAAAACACACACGTGTAAAGCCTTTATGTTTGGTCATGATTTGCTTCTCTAACTGTCTTATGAGAGAGATAAACCTGAATGTCTGCGCCAATCCAACCCAGTTTTTTTTATTTTCTCGTCTTTTTTTTTAATTCCATTTCTATCAGAATTATTAATGCACAATTTTAATAACATTTTTAGCCGTAAGCGTAAGAATATAATATAACATTTGTAAGTGATAAGCAACCTTTAAGTCACACTCATTATAAACATTTACGTTGAATTTTGTTTGTACAGTAAAACAGATTAAGAATGTTTATTTTCTTTTGTTAAACAAACGGAAATAACTTGATAAAAAACAAGTATGTAAAATATGAAGCTTCTATGATTATAGTTCAAGCTGTAATCAGCGAAAACGTAAACGTAGTTATAGAACATGAAAAGTAAATTAATTAGAAATAACAGTGAGCAACTTGATAAACCGAGTCTGATAAATTTCTACATGTAATCAGTAAGTAAGTATTCTGATTTAGAACCAACAATGTTACTCGGCCGTCGTACTCAACTCTACAGTTTTTGAAACTTAGAATATCTATCAAACCTGAAACTTAGAACATCTATTAAACCTGAAACTTGAGCATCTATTAAACCTGAAACTTAGAACATCTATTAAACCTGAAACTTGAGCATCTATTAAACCTGAAACTTAGAACATCTATTAAACCTGAAACTTGAGCATCTATTAAACCCGAAACTTAGAACATCTATTAAACCTGAAACTTAGAACATCTATTAAACCTGAAACTTGAGCATCTATTAAACCTGAAACTTAGAACATCTATTAAACCTGAAACTTAGAACATTTATTAAACCACTTTGTAGCCAAAATAAAACTATTTAAGTAAGTTACTTTAATTTTTGTCTTTTTGCTGAAAATCTGGTATTTTCTTTTCTTGTTCCCAAAGTTTTCTTCTTGTGCTATTCATCTGACTTTAG